GTGTTATTTCACGAGTATATTGCCTATAACCTGCCTCGATAAATGCTCTAAACAACACAAAAATAAGTTCAATTCGAACCTCTATTTGTTTAGGTTAGCGCGGTCAAACAAACAGATAAACAGACTCTTCAGCTTTTTAAAATTAGCAAAGACTTGTAAAAGTTTTGAATGTGGAATGTTCTCTAGATTATTTAATAAATAGTAATAAATGCAAGTACGAAATAACAATAACAACACGAATAGTTCTTCTCTACTATAGGAATATTCAATACCAGTGTTCAAATAACACCGAATCAAAACATTATAATTCATAGGAATGTCAAGATAGTTTGCGCAATAAAAACTCTCATTCCGACACTCAGTCATGCTCAATGGACGGAACGGGATAATCAAATCAGGCAACAGTTCCTCTCACAAATTTTTTTTCCAGCTTCGTGACAGTATTTCTGATGTGATTTATCCGTTCTCGGTTTCCCATAACCCAATTTTACTTTCGGTGAACTGTTTACATCTTTTCATCGTAACTCTATGAATACTGAATATCAAACGATGGAGCGGTTCATATTTTCTTTTAGAACTAACTATTAGTAGTTTGCATTTGATATTTAGATTAGTAACATTTATTTAAAACCTCCGTTTAAAGATACCATCATTTTCGCCCAAGCCATTCGCAAAAAGAAAACACAGACAAATTGCCTTAAGCTAAAGTAATTCACATTAGTTATTTAATAACAGTTACTTTGAAAGCCGTAGTTTAAATAATTTTAACGGTTTAAAACGCGATATATAAAAAGTTAAACTCCTGTAACGACGGATGCTGCAAAGCATCCTAAACGTCGGGCCATAGTTAAAATAATTCAATTAAATTTAACTTATATATATCGCGTTTTGAACCGTTAAGGTGTTATATTTAAATAACTAAGCTTATAGCTGTTTAACATCTCACAAAAATACCAAATACGCCGAATTTTATCGGCCCAATTAAAACTAAAAACGTGGAATTTGGCTTATCATTTCAAAGTAAAACGTGACGATATGACGGAAGTAACATAAAGAAATTACAGTTTTTATTCTTAACAAGCGTTCTTTGTTTTGTATTACGAAGCTACAGTACTTTATCTTTTAATATTTGTCATGAGAATCTTAAGGGATTTTATCAATACTTCAAAAAATACTTACATTGAGGTAATATATAAGATATAGGTAATTAAAGGGCGAATAAATAATTATTAATTCATCTATATAGAATAAACGTTTCTTAATCCATAAATTAATTAAGTTAACTAAATTTGTGTATGTAAATAAAAAAGTTAAATTAATACAAATTTAAAAATGAAATAGTGGGTATATTTAGTACCCTAGACGAGAGCTTTTTTATCTTTTTAATCCCAATATTATTGAATAAATCCTAACCTTAGCTACAAGTTAAGAGTTGAGACCTCATAACAGTTGATAGTATCAAAGTACACTTCGCTGATTTATGTATTGTTTAACAACTACACATATTTGATTCAAGCTGCTCTCAACGTATGTTTACTCTATGCCCCAACACCTCCAGGTCACAAGAACAATCCATCCGTGTCAAAACCATATTCTCATGCTCCCATTCCACCAGTGGATTGCCAAGAAATCACGATAAGCATCGTTCCGTTGTCACGAACCAATTTCGAGTCCTGGATAAAGCAACGTGACCTTTGTACCAACGAAGTGTGAAGCGCCATGTAAGAGCAGCGGGTGGTTCTGTATTGAAAACTGGACGGACCTCGGATATCAGACGTCGATCAAGTGCCACACGAAAATGTTATCTGATTCGATTGGACGCTGTAATCCGTCATCTTTTGTCGTTTCGAACAGAAATCTTGACTTGTTTTGAAGGATTTATTGTTTTTTGTCGACGGATTCCAATATTCGGTGTCATGTAAATATTTGATATTACAAATTCTATTATAGAAGAGAAAGAAAAGTGTTTTAAAAATAACGAATTTCAATATTAGGTATACCTATAATATATACTTTTTAGTCATCTGTAAAAAACTACCATATTAAAGAATTTCTCTACGAATATATAAAGTTGCAGAGTTTGTTTGTTTGTTCGTTTAAACGCGCGAATTTCGGAAACTACTGGTTTGAATTAAAAAATATGTTTTTGTGTTGGTGAGAATATTTAATAAGGAGGGTAATAGGCTATAAAGCATCGCGCTGTGACTTAGGAAGAGAAATAGAGGGAGATGTGGAAAAAAAGAGAAAAAATATTCATCTCTGTGGGTTTCTGATGCGTACGTTGCGAAAGCGGTTTTTTAGATCATTCAAAGAGTGATTTCTCTTGAATTGAATGATCTAAAAAAAAGTCCGCGATCGATTTTTTAAGATTACCTTGTAAGAACGACGGGACGCGGCCGACATCCGCGTCTTAGGTTAATAAAGATGAAAAGGAGGTTTGCAAAAACAAATTTGGATGCCCAAAATCACTATTCTACGCGGACAAACTCACTGACGCAGCTAGTAAAATATAAATACGTAATTAAGTGTATACTTTATTAGAACCAGTGATGATATAGTTATCGTACATCTTTTAATAGACACTAGAAATATTATCAAATTAGCTACTGTGACCAATGACTACCGGACACTCAGTAGATATCTTTATCGTCATAATTATCTCAAGAATTGGGCACTGAACACTGACTATTAGCATCACGAGAAAAGGTAGAGCCGTTATCTATGCTAGCCGAAGGGATGTACAGTCAGAGGTGCGTATAGCCGTGAAATCCACAGATAACTAATAAAACCGGACGTTGATAATGGAATCGATTAGAGTGCTTTTGACAAATCCATTTTAGATGACGCACAAGATAGCTGCGTCTGCGCGATAAGGTTTTGATAAATTCCGAGGTTTTATTAAAAAAGGGTTCGGGCAAGGATTTAGATTGTATGCATCGAAGTTATAAAATTCGTTCCCTTCTAAAATGGACAGGAATAGATGCGTCTTTGTTTAAGTAATAGCTTACTGACTCCGCTAGCACCTCGGCCCAAAGTGTCTTATGCTGGCGCCATTTTTAACCATTAACGGTTACTTGTGTTGTTGTCGATTGGCAAACAATGTTATTTGTCTAAATAAAACACTTTAACGGTTTAAAACGCGATATATTAAACTTATTTGAAAATGATTTTTAACTTCGGCCGGATTTTTAACTTAAAAATAATTTTCAAATAAGTTTAACTAATATGTATATCGCGTTTTAAACCGTTAAAGTGTTTTATTTAAATGTGTACTACTCGCGTAAACTATAGACAGTATTTAATGTTATTTGTGCTCAAAATAAGATGTTACATTGTAATCTGTATTTGTGATATGTGATTGATCTTTAAGATATATAGCAATAAAACTACTCTCTATTATCTTTTGATGAAAGCAAAGCAAGTTGTTTTATTACACATTAGAATTTTTATAACAGTATCATATGAGCAAAATGTTTTGTGTTACATTGTTGAACAAGCAAAGTAATTACGGGTTATTATTTAAATTTATTTCGCCCATTTGGTCGCTAATTTTAAGGTTGAATTGGAAACGATATTTTATTTGTGTGGATTATGAATAGTTAAAAAAATAAAACCCATTTATTTAATATAAGAATATACAACAAAAGAGAAAACCCTTTAATAAATTATTAAAATCGACACGATTTAAGTTGATATAGGAAAAACAAACAATGCCATATGTGAACCGCTGGAATCCAAAGAAAAAGCAGTGAGTTGCGGGCATTTAAAATATGTCATGCCATATGCTATATCACACTTAACGATTCTACAAAACACACTGACCATTCCGACAGAAGGTCAAATAACTATCGAATATACTAAGCCCATTGTATCTACGGTGTCCGTGACGGTTGAATTATGACTGGGGAGCTTCTACCTGCTCCGGGTCCATCATTATAACCTACTATGATTGTCGGCGAGCCGAAATTATTTCTCCATCTTTTTTTTAAAACCCATAACTCGAAACTTAACAGTTACTTATAGTTCTTGTTTCTTTGGCGGTGAAATTGAGAACAAAACCGCAAAGACTGCTGAGAAATTTTATGTTAATATTATTTATTGCTCTGCCTTTTTAGTTCATTAGTAATTATTATGTTGTATTGTGAAACTGTAAATTTAAAAACAAATTATGAGTCATACTTATGAAAATTAATCGGTTACTTCATAGTTTTGTCTATCTAATGAATAGGGCATTAATTTTAAAATAGTTGCTCAAATAACTGACGTACGTGTGTTATTTTTGTACGCATGATGTGTGACAAATCATAAAAGGGTTAGCATCTCAAAATAAACTCTATTTTCGTTTATCTACAGTATGGCGTTACGATGATGTTTAAATAAAAAAAAAATATTTCATTATAACTTTTATTCTCCATTCGCTTGCTTTAACAGTTTACAATTTCCTCGTATTACTAAATAATTGATCACATAAGCAATAATTTGTTAACAATCGCTGAATCTCCGGTAAAAGATACACAGAAGTGTTTTGTACAGTAAGGCATATAACATTATATAACGTTTATTTAAATTGTTTAAGAATTGATTATGTGACCAACTAAATATCTACAAATTGTTATGATCACTATTATCTATCTAATGACTAGTAAACTATACATAATCAATGTTCTCTATACAATAATAATTACATTATTTACAATATATTTGGTAACAATGAGATATACTCTATAGCAAAATACTTAAGTCACATTTTATACTGGCAAATCTTAAATTATAATACAGTTCAGTCTTAAACGATACATTAACCACGGTGCGTTTACAAAGGCATCGTTATGCGACAATTCAACAACAGTCTCTTTACAATATAAATAATTATTATAAGGAACGTTAATCGTACAATTATTTGGCCGGCAGTAATCACGTCTCAATAAGGCATCGCCAGAACAATTATACACATGTGCTTGGAATGTAGCGACCCATTAGGAGATAAGTCCTGAAACGCGTTATCTGTGCACGCTCGGGTGTGTTTGAGGTAAGCAGTCGTGTATGGAGGAACGGGGCTGTAAGTATCCCTGCTCGTCGAGCATGGAAGGTGTATGGCTCGGGTGCTTGCGCAACGAGTTCGGTGGCCGCGGCCGACCGCCATATGGTTGTTCGTAATTTTGTGTGTCGATCGATATGTAACTGTGGTGCGGATTATCCATGTCTTGTATCTGGCTCGTTAGCGTCGTATTTGTTAACATAGACGTGTCATCTTCGACGCTAATGCCGACGTTAGCGACCGTGGGCGTCTGAGGGGGGATCGCGTCGTATTTATACCAAAGCTCGGGCGCAGTGGGCGACGCCGTGTACCTAGAGGGGTGACGCCTAGCGTTCGGACAAACGGCGTGATTGTAATTTATGTTGTCTTTGTTCCAATGCAAATTAGAAATGTCCGGCATCAAGAACCGCACTTTCTCCCAAAATTTCTTCTCGCCCCATAATAGGACGTTGCAAGTTTTCAGATAGTTTTGAAACTCTAGATCTAAATTAAGGGCACTGATGTCAGTGGTGAGGACAAACACGACTCTGTGTCGTCTAATGGAAGGATGGATTGAAGTTATTACGTGTTTGAGAGCGGCTTTAAATGTCGTTTTTGACCATTCGTTTTGCAAGAAATTAAAAGAGATGAATACTAAGATTCTTTTGGAGGACTCAGCGGCGTTTGTTATTTGTTCTAGGATGTAGTTTTCGGGGACATTTTGTAGGTCTCTATAGTGAAAGCACATAGTGTATCCGCAATGTTCCATTTCTGGCGCTACTACTTTACTTACAAAATCGTCATCTAACAAACTATACACAGCGTAGCCGTCGTACATCCTATCTCTATCTAATTCACTTTCCTGAATAGATGCACTTTTAAACAGTCTTACACCATATTTAGAATGCGCCCATAAACGCACGTTTTGTCTAAAAGAGAACGCTAAGGCACCAAACAATAATATAAGGATTACACTTATAAGGACTACGGCTAAAAGGGGCACAAAGTTCAATTTAATTGTGCTCACTTCATCGTATTGGTACGGTTGATTTTCAGTAGGTATAGTATTGTCATTTACACTAGACTCACGACACTTGTCCATCACGTCGAACACAGTCAAATTGGCACTCAGTTCGTTTTCACTAGCACATAACATTTCCGACGGATCCTCGTAATATTTCTTTAACCAGTTCACTAAAGTTAGGACGTTATCGCACGCGCAGTTAAATAGATTACCTCGAACGCGAACACCTTCCAAGTGGACGATATGAGCTAGCTTCTTGTCGAGATTCAATATCTTGTTTCCTTGTAAGTGTATGACTCGAAGCGACGATAAGTTTTCAAATGAATTATTCGCTACACTAGTCAAGAGGTTATCGTTTAAGTATAACTCTCTCAAGTGCTTGGTTTGAGAAAATTCACCTCCCGCTATTTCAGTCAAATGATTGCTCTCGAGATGCAAAACGTTGAGAGAGTGTAGTCCATTAAACGTGTCGTTATCGATGGAAGCTATGTTACTATTATTCAAATATAACTTATGAAGCTTTTTCTTGCCTATAAATAAGTGGCTATTCAAGGAACCGAAGTCGTTGCCATCCAAGTAGAGTTCAGTGGCATCCATAGGTATCTTTTCAGGAATGTCCGTGTAGCCGACATTAGAACAATCGATTACATTAGAATTCCAGTTGCTGTCGTGAAAACAGGAACAACCTTCAGGACATGACATTTTACAGTCGCAGGCTTCAAAATCACAACAAAAGCAGCTCGACGAACAATGCGTATCATAAGAACAAAGGAACTGCGTTTCAGGAACATCCATTAAGTTCGCTTTTCCTCCGTATTTATTATTTACGACTTCGCATGTAACGGAATCTAAATCTACAAATCTAGGATATTGTCTCATGTGATTCCATAGGTTTATTTTTTGTAGCCATATCATATGACAGTTGCATACAAATGGATTATTTCCTATGAAAAACTTTGGCAAAAATCTGTGCTTCGGAATATGCGGCAGTGTGAATGCAGACAGTTCAACGGTTCTCAATTTATTATCCGTCAATATAACTTTTTCTAAGTTCCTTTTTTGTATGAATGTACCTGGCTGGATTGTGTGAATTTTGTTGTTATTCAAAAATAGGACTTCAATAGAATCCGGGACGGACTTTTCGTCGACCTCTTCTAAAGAATTGTAACTGACGTCGAGCATTCGAATATTCGGTTTGAAATCTTTTTCATTTACTAATTTCGAGATGTTGTTTTGATGGATATCGAGCCATTCTAAGCTTTCAGGCATGTAACTGTAGTCGAAGTAAATAAGTTTATTGTCGGATATGTTGAGCCATCCTAAAGTGCTCAGTTTGTTAAAAACACCTCGTATATCAGTGAGTTTATTTCCGTCGAGACGAATAGCTTTCAGCGTAGGGTTTGAAAGAAATGCGTCTTGTTCGATGGTTTCAATTTTGTTTGACGCTAAATTTAGAACTTGTAATGACGGTAATGTGCTGAATGTATCTTTCGGTATACTAGTAATGTGGTTGTCAACAAGTCGTAAGCCGTAGAGTTCTTCGAGGCCCTCGAAAGATGTATTAGAAACTTTCGTAATGTTATTCTTGCCAATGTCCAATGATTTTAGGAATCTGAGTTTTTTAATGCCATCAGGAATATATTTAAGAGTATTTCCATTCAATCCCAAGTCTTGTAAATAAGTTATATTCTCAAACGACCTGTCATTAATTACAGAAATTTGGTTGTTGTCTAAGTACAACTGGCTAAGTACAAAAAGATTCGAAAAAATATGCTCATTCAGTGTTTTTATTCTGTTATCGGACATTGATAATTGATGTAAGTTTTTGAGTTCAGCGAACGCGCCGTTGCTTATCACTTCGATCGCATTATTGTCCAAGTTCAAAACTTGCAAGTTGTTAAGATCTTGAAATGATTTAGGGTCCAAACGTACTAAGGAGTTGTGAGATAAGTTCAAAATGACTAATCGAATTAAGCCGGCAAACGTGTCTCTATTCACCCAATCGTTGGTTAGTCGATTTCTAGATAAATCCAATTTCTCAAGTTGATCAAGTCCCTCCAACAATCCCGGTGCCAGCACGGAAAGCGAATTATTCGCTAATGAGATTTCTTTTATAACCCGTGAAGACTGAAATAGTTCTGGAGGAACGGCGACTAACTTGTTTCCGGATAAGTTAAGAATCTTTAATGAATTCAGCCCCACGAAAGCTCTGTCGCCAATTTCATTAATTAAGTTGTTGTGAATCTTTAAAACCTCTAGAGAGCGCAGACTCGAGAGGCCGTTGTCGGGGAGTCTTAGTACATTATTGTGCGATAAGTCTAACAATTTCAGACCGGTGTTGCACGACTTGCCAGGTGCCATGGGGCCCTTACCCCAGTCGGAAAAACCGATTTCGGAAATGTCTTGTATTTTGTTATTGGTTAAATTCAATGATTCTAAACTAAAAAGCGGACAGAAAACTTCGGAAGGCAACATATAGATATTATTGTCACCTAGGTCGAGTGATCGCAACTCCATTAATCCCCTAAAGCTCTCAGCGTGGAACTCCATCGTCATCGCAGGCCAATCCGTGTTATACGACCGTAGAGTGAGACTAGTGAGGTCACGAAGAGGCGATAATACCGTAGCCGGCACATACCGTATCTTACAATACTCAATACGCAAGTCTTCAAGTTTGCGCAGTTGGCCCAAAAAACTCCCGGTATTCATGTGCAGTGAACTCTCGAAGAAAAGCAGATCGGTGCAAGTAAGTTTCAACTTATTGATGTTGTACGCCTGCGCCGTCGTTATGTTCTTAAACAGCGTGTCAGCTGAACCGATGGTTTTGATATTGCACGTGAGAAAGTTTGATTCACTCAACTTTGTGTCCGAGTAGTCCCATTGACAGCCACCGGGGGCGGGCGGCGCGGATCGTGCGCGCGCACCGGCCACCGCAATCAAACAAATCCAAACTTTTAAAATCATCCCATACGAGTTTTCCGTCATGGTTTCACAGTGGCACAGTTCATTTGAGAGTTTATATCACTTATAATTACAGTTCTAAACTTCTTATCACTCAAAGTCAATGTTTTAATCGAGTATCTTGTTTACACTAAGTTTTAGAGCGTGCGTAAACAAACACTGCGCGGTTGCGGCGAAACTTTTGACACAGCCATGCTCCCCTGCGGTCTGGCGGTAACTGACCTACGTAAGTTTGAACGAAAGCCGCGTGTCTAGGGAGTGCGGGAGGGGGGCTCAAGTTTAACTGACGGGTGGGACAAGCACTGCAGCTTACAACAGATGGCACGCGTGTTTTTAGACACTCGAAATATTGGTTATTCAATTTTGAAGTCTTAGGTCTGCGTGATTCGTTGAACAAGGCTGCTCAGGTTACGTCTTAAAGGAGGTCGTATTGGGTAATCAAACAGTAGCTGATAGTGACAACAGATTTCTTGTTGTTTTAATTTTTTACTATCGCTCTATGGGGCGTCTGTTTAGAAATGATTTTAGTATATACACTGACGTGTATATAATAGACAAACATGAATTAAAAATTCCGCATGTGTTACTAGAAAGACGTATTAAGTAATTAATAATTTTAAGAATAACTACCTCAGAATACAATGCAGCACACAATTGCCAATGACTGACAGTTTCTTAAACGTTTTCAATTGAATATAAAGGAACAAGGTTTCAAAAAGACACGTGCACTCTACTGAGAATTGCGATATGATTTCGTTCTTTATTTAGCAATTTAAAAATTTAAACTAAAAATCATTATTTAGGAGCGAACATGGCGAAAAAGATATTACTATATGGACACGGTAGATACATTTTTCTTTTACATTAGTAGTATGTACCACCTCTACTATGCTATATAATATTCAGCAAAATATAGCAAGCTAATAGCGACATTAATTTTATCAATAGCTCGTTCTGCGAACTAAAAAAACGATAACGCGTCTTATACAGACTTATGGTTTCCTGTTTCTTAAACCTAATTAACTTTATCGTCATTTCTTGTTAAAATGCCAGAAATTTGTTTATTTATTATGCAAGAAATAAATTGATTGCTTTCATTTCTAAGTATTTCACTGAGAAACATACTACAAATTCTAAACTGTTACCATTATTATATAGCTAAGACCGATCTTAGTTATTACGATATAAAGATTTGTCAGCAAGTAAATAAGTCAGGTGCGGTCGCGACCTCGTCCGCATTCAAAGATTATTTTGGGCATTAAAATTAGTTTTTGCATACCTCCTCCTCATATAAATTTTAGCTATTACATGTCGTTCTTGCGAAGTGAATCTTAAAACTGTCTCGGACAATTTTTAAGATCATTTAAAGAGGAATTATTATTGTATACTACTCCGTTTCGTATCTTGTACAGTTTTTGCAGGTAACCCACAAAGATAAATATATATCCCTGATTTTTTTCTTATTTCCCTCTGTTCCTTCGCTCCTATAGGTCACTTCCAGCTTGATGTTTCATAATATTAAGCCTTCCTTGATAAATGATACAACAAACAAAAAATGTGTTTTCAATTTGAACTAGTTGTTTCTGATATTAGCGCGTTCAAAATACTTACAATAAACTGTCTTCAAACGTTTTTATATTTATTATATCAGTGATATTATTACTATGACAGCAAGGCAGACGAAGAAGAGACTAAAGTATACAATTTCGAACTTCCGATAGACGATACTGTCTTTGCTAGTTAACTGAAAAAACACGTCCATTCAGTATGGGGCTATCGTGAGTCACCAAAAGTCATCTTGCTATAACACGTGCGTGTCGAATTGCATCTACCGTGGGAGACGCTCGAAGCCTACAACTTTATTTTTCTTTACATCCATCAGAATGTAGCATTTTATACGAAGTACGTGCTGCTATCAAACTCGCTTTTTATCGAACAGTAGCGACACAAGATTAAGTCGACTGTATTGGACGTTCTTTATAATTTATTGCTATGTATTTTTAAAACATGATAACAACCCTTTAATGTATTTTTATAGATTTTTTATAACCAAACTATAATACATACTATGTATATTTCTTGATTGACTTTTTAAATATGTTTTAGATACGAGTTTCTTTCCTTTTTTTGTGTCTTACGTCTCAGTGACTAATTCAATTTATTATGCTATATTACCTCAAGTCATAATTTTTTTCTAATATATACAAATCAGTAAAAGTGTACGAATAGAGAGAGTCGATGAAAAGTATGCTTAAATTGTTTTTAACGGAGCCAACTGCATTGCACTGGATTTTAACTGTGAGTAGATAAAAAACACGCATCTAAAGAGTTTGAAATATTTTAAAAGAAAGCGTTTACTAAGAAATAATAGATGTAGCGGTGTGTCGAAAGGTAACGTATTGGTGCCCAAACTATTGATATTCTATGTCAATATTGAAGGTCAACATCTCACGTGCCCGGGACGACCAATATTGACAAAATACAACATTACCACGTATCTCATAACTAGTTCAGAAAATATAGAATGAAGACCGATAATCATTACATAAGTAATGACATTCCTGAGACCTTTAGAACGTAATAGTCTTTTTATCATGGAATATTATTTATTGCTTTCCGAATTATCGATTCTCATCAAAGAGCAGTTTATGTGTTTAGTTAGAGATAAGGTATACACAGTTGAAGAAGTTGTTTTCAATAAGTAAAGCGAAGACAACAATTGTTTTAATTTTGGTTACACAAGAATTTAGAGGTGGTCTTGTCAAACTGTCACGTTACTATAATAGGAGTAATTTAAAAATTCAACTAACTGGAACGAATCGTGTTCTCCGGAAGCTCAAATTGAAACACTGTACGCTTCTGTGTACCCCAGAAACGAAACAATACAAAATTGGCAACCGAATTGAAACCGAGTCTCGTTTTGAACAATTGTATTTAAACCCAAAAGATTTTATGACCCATTCAAAGCTGTGCTTCGTTTTTGAAAAAAGGAGCCACGAAAAGGTGTCGACAAACATGAATTGAAAAAAATCTTTTTGAGCTTCTGCACGTAAAATGCGGGTTAAAACAAGAGTGTACAACGCATGAAGATTGCTTTTACTGTCACATGTAACAAAATATAATTATTAAGAAATAATTAAGACGAAGTATTTTGAAATTACAAATGCAGGTTAAACTCTTGACTTGTAATGGTAAATTAAGTGTAATTTAATTTATAAAATATAAATATTTACCATTTTGTCGCCTTTGCACAAACTTGTTTTATTTTGTATATATATGTAAGTATCTACGTTTGTGCAATAAAGAGTTTTTTATTATTATTTATTTATTTAAATACATAAACATATACCTTTTTGTACATTGATGACTAATTTATACTTCTCTATTTATATTATCTCTCTCTATAAAAACTAAGTTCTTGCATAACTCTACATTAGGTCCCAGTACAATATGACTTCAGTATTATAAAACTGAATTGATATTGTTAGTTCGCTTCGTTTTGGAAACATGTTGCAACATTAACCATTCAAACATACCCTTGCTTCACGTTCGTATAGAAAACACGCTCCTACATAATAAACAAGTAAATTGTAAATATTCTGACTCACATCAGTCTTTTGTTTTATCGCCCAAAAATTCTAAAGCTTTGCCAGAACATTATCATTGTGTGGACAGTGTCTTGTATATCTCAATAAATCCTTAAGAAAATTATTTGCCGCAATAAAAAAGGGACTCTCGCCACTTAAACAAAAGGTACCACCGCAATTATAATATCGCTACCATAAATTTTATGAGACAATAGTTTTGGTTTGTACTTCTTTCTTGTGATTGTAAATTTTGGTTGCTTTACGCTTGTCAACGCTAATTACTGGAATGCTGGTTTAAATTTAGTTTTACTGTTTTAAATTTTTTTCATTACGTAAGAATCTAGAATACAAAGTTGTTGATGTGTTTAGGGATTGATGTTTTATTTAAGACACACTAAAATAACATACAGTCTTTTTGAAAAGGTAGTAAAGCCTTATTGATGACATAATGATCATTATTTCTCAGCTATATTTTTGCAGATAGATTTTAAATGTTTCATTCATCTCTTAAGTAAAACGGTAAGAAAAACAACCACGGTTTAAACCACGAACCTCTCACGCTTCACATAATTCAGTGGTTTAGTTCTTAATATGTTTTAAAAATTATAGTTTTAACAATTATTAACTTCTCCCTAAACTCAGTATTGAAATTAATTAATTATGTAAATTGGTTAAATAAATGTATATTATAAATTTAATATGTATATTTTAGACAAAAATTTATGTAATTAACATAAATAAACTATATGATTGAGAAATAATACACCAAGTCTTATATAAAATTTTGATGTAACATACCTACTTTTAAAATAAAAATTTTTAACGGTAAAAAACGCGATATATTAGTTAAACTTATTTGAAAATGATTTTTAACTTTCTGTTGACTCCCCGTGACCACGGCTGCTGCAAAGCATCCGAAACGTCGGGCCGAAGTTTGTTTTATTTTAAATGTGCACTACTCGCATAAACTATAGACAGTATACCTACTTTTGATAAGAAAACAAGTACAACATCTCGACAGTACAATGCACATTATTCACATCTTATCATTCCAAGTTGACATATGCTTTAAAAGTGTAATACTTATTTGTAAACGAAGACATAATATCAATGTTCCACGTTAAAGGCATTTTGAGATAATGAGAGCAAAATACTGCTTGTGAACCGATAACGGTAGGGCTGTGCTAAGCTACAATATAACGAATATTAAAAAAAATAAATTCATAATTACACCCAATAACAAAATGTTAGGTAACCTATAGGTCACCAATAATGTAGGATGTTCCTTGGAGCTATATGGTTAAACGTTAGCATTACTTAATGCGTGAGAAGTCTTGGGTTCGAATCTTGGACAACGGATACTTTCATTTGGGCGGCGCATAGAAGTCTATAGAAGATCACTACTAAAAATGGACACCGAAATGTGTTCGTTCCATG